AGTGAGTGTTCAGGAGCACGATCCCCGGGTCAGATATATCAAAGCATAGTTTTATTTACCATGTAAAATTTTTGAGTTTTCTTGGTCAGCCTGTCTAATGCAGTCAGAAGAAAAAGAAAACAAATGAAGAACTATAGCCAAATTCCATTCGGTCTTCTGAGTTTTAGCGCCAAAATTTCGAAGGGCACTTTGCAAATCTAGTCCGTATTTCCCAATACGGCAAATACGGCTGAATCCGTCCCTGAATGTGTATATTCTGTACAGTTAATTTGAATTACAGAATATATATTAATTTTAAGGCAGACAATAAAGGTTCATGAAATAACAATTTAACGTGCGCAAGAAACCAAAGCAGCAGAACACTAATGGAGTGATGATGACCACCGGAACTTGACGATGCCGACAGTGATGGGTATCGGCTATGGTAAATGTTTGCTATGGCGCTTCTGTGAAAGGAGAGGTGTCAGCATGGGCGCGGCATATCGCGTGTCAATCACCTAGCTGTCTGTTATACAGGCGGGTGCTTAGAAGACTAAGGGTATTGAGCAGATATAACAACCTGCTACAATACAATTTTCTTTTATTTCTGCTACAACATTGGCATAATAATATGCCCAACATGCGTGTGGTAAATAGAGCTTATTAGTGAGTGTGTGTTAGTTCCTATAGTTCAATTATTTTCTGCTATTACATAGAAAGCATTTTGTTCCTTATATTAACATATTGTGAATGCCTTGGGTAATGACATAAACTGTTTATGGCTAGAATAACTATTCTTTTGTGCTCTTGAAAGTTGAATTTGCTTCAGCCACTAGAGTTACTCAAATAGCTCAGGTTCTAGTTATTTTTGGTGTTCTTTATAGTAACCTGTTACTGTTAGTTGAGTATCCCTGCTTCACATCTAGCGCAATGGAATCGAATGATGTCAAGACAAAAAATGGTGTAATTCACAGGAGGATGGCTGGGATCGATGGCAATGCAGACATGGGCAGGGCGAACCCGTAATGTCAGTATGATAGCTCACAAATTGCTGTAAGAGATCATCTATTAAGTTCTTGCTGACGTATATAATGAGCAACTATTTAATGTCAATTTCTATATAGGTAATGCATCAATATAAAATCATAATTAATGCCATGTCAGGCTGGAAACCGAGCAACAACCCATTGACAGCACTGGAGGCGAAAGAAGAGTTCACATCAAAGACAGCTTCCATGGTCTTAAGGAGATCTGATTTTTCCAGGCCATTCAGCCCGGTGAGTAAGCTAGAGTAAAAAATTGTAATCCCATGGCCTCCTTTAAACACATTTCAAGTCACAACATTGACCCTTTTGGCGTCGAGAATATTCTGCATTTCCTTAGCATAAAATACTGACCTCCATGACTATATAATATAAATATACTCAAAACGAACTCTGCAGATCGTCTGTCGATAGTGCCTGTGCCTAAAGTATAGCCAAGTAGAACCAACATTATTTCATGTCAAGATAGACAGGTAACTTTATCTACTAGGTGGGCCTTCCATTGTCTGGGTTTCTTTTCGTGCCGCCAACTAAGTCCGCGAATATCAACTACAAAGTAAGTAGGTTGGACCAGTAGGTGTAGCATGTTCACTGCAGTTTAGTTACATGCATCAATGAATAGTTACCTTAGATCACTACTTTCTTTCATGTTCTTTTACGTTGCAAACCACTCAAGTTACTCAGCATGTGTCCAAATTGTCACAGGGTTATGTTCACATACTGGTTCATTCATCCCAGCCTCCTACTAAAGTTGCACTGTTACGTCTGGACAGCCAGTCTGCTTTTTTGTGAGATTTATTGAAAGGCTTGGACGTCCCAACATCCTAACTTTTTAAATCAATTAAAGGCTGCGCACAATGCGCAATCCCAACACGCTAAGTCTCCAGTACATAGGACTGAGGGGGCGGGCACAAGTACTTCGTGTCATGCATAATCACACACCTTATGACAAAATAAACTCTAGTTGCTCCCATTTCACTGCGCGTTTAGCTTTAAAACCCACAAGAAAGGAGTGCAGAAAACTGGCATTCTGGCGCAAACGCCGACTGGTTCCAAACAAAATAGCCTCGATAGTGGTGACGTGACGTCACATGTTTTGTCATCGTCTTGCTCGCCGCCGCTCGTGCCCGTACCGCTGTACCGCGGCACCGCTGCACAGTTGCTTGGAGATTGGGGAAACTGTCAACATTTTACAACATCGGAGAATTTCAACAACATTGGAGGTATTTTCAAAATACCTTTTATAAGACAACGCGCAGTGAAATGGGAGGAACTAGAGTTTATTTTGCCATAAGGTAGTATGATTATGCATAACACGAAGTATTTGCTAGTCTAGTACTGGAGAAATTAGCGTTTGGATGCGCATTGTGAGCCTTTAAACGGCCCCAGGCACCCACTGAGTAACAGCCATGCCGAGTATTAGTTGTAGTCAGACTGGTAGTTCTGAAGGCATTCTGTGAGCCAGTAACACACACACACCTCCCCTATAGTATTTATGCTGTTATGTATCAATAGTAGCATGAAATTTATGCTACCATTGAGAAGCAAAACCACAAATTTGATTAGTAATTAGGTGTTTATTTAATTGTTGAACAGGCATCACGAGCTGTCATCCTCAACAAAGCTACAGAATACATTGAGACCATGCGTAGCAGAAACAGCGGTCACCAGAAAGACATAGACACACTCAAGTCACAAAATCAATTGCTAGAGTCGCAAGGTATCAAACATCTACTCCTATTTTTCATAGTTTCATAAAGTGGAATTTGGTGCTGGTACTATAATACTCAGGAGCCTGGCTTCATTTTTAGCTCATCTGACATAGTCAGATGCAGCTTGTAGAATCGCATGAGCGTGCGTCCGTCCGTCCGTCCGTCAACAGTTGGGCACAAATCTAAACGGCTCGACGTACGGATTCGAAAGTCGGGACGTGGGGGGGTAATCCGAAAACGAGTTGGGATGTTGAAGCTGGGGGTCAAAGGTCAAAGGTCAAGAGGTGTAAATGAAGCGGGAACATTCCCTCCTTAACTTAAGGTATAGGGAGGAAATGCAGAATTGCGGCACAAATCTAAACGGCTCGATCTAGGCTCGTGATAGTCGGTGTATAGCATCATGGTAGGAAAAGCCATCACTGTGCTGAAATTGGAGGTCACAGGTCAAAGGTCAATGGGGCACAGGGCAGATTTTAGACATTTTCTGAGGACATGGTGTGACGGATCATTACACACACGCGCACACGCAAACACACATGCGCACACGCACACGCGCGCACACACACAAGCGCACATGCACACGCACACGCGCGCACACGCACACACGCGCACACACACACACGCGCACATGCACACGAGCGCACGCGCACACACACACACAAGCGCGCGTGCACACGCACACACTGGCACACGGCACGCGCCGCGATTAGTCACCGAACACAAATCTGTTTAACAACAACAATACGCAGAAAAGATCTCGTTTGCAATCAATTAGCATATCCAGGAACTGGCTACAAGTCAGTTGTTCAACCAGTATTTCACACGACGCCGGCTGGCGTGGTACCCAGGTGTGAAGTGCACCTGACGCGGGTTGATACCGCGCGTACGTATATTTCTGGTAATTAATTAAACTATTCGTGCTTCAATAAACTCAAAATTCACAGAAATCATAGCTATTAAGACATGTGTTTATATGTATCTAGAATTTTAGAAATGTAACTCAAATCGTTCGCGAGCTATTAGAGTTAGTACACGAGTTAGCCGGCGAACCGAGCTGACCGATCTCTAGATCGGTGAGCTCGGTTCACGAACCGAGTTGGCAGGTGAACCGAGTTGGCACGTGAGCCTCACAAGTACACCGCGCGCACGCCCTGTGCACAAACAACATGAATAAGAGAGGCTCTCAAATGGCACTAGCTTCAATTTCAAATAGGGACATAGTTAGCCCTAGGTCAGTAGTTGCATACGTCGATCATATCATTAATGACATTATTAATATTATCAGTACCATGTGCAATTACCTTACCGGCTTACGTAACCGTAATAGCTGCTTTATGTCTTCCCACTACGGCACTAGTTCAAGTAAGTAGTTGTGTGTCAGTGTGGGATGACTAGACGAGACCCGCGAAAACAGTACATATCATGAAACGCAACGACTCACACTTCGTTCATGCATAGCCATAGTTCATGCAGAGCATATAAATCAAACAGTTGATTGACATCTCTGATTTAATTATTATCAGCTCTGGTTTATCATCAATCATCATGCTTAGATGATCCATGAAACGGAAACAACATACAGAATATCAACACATGAGCAGAACTGTGCCTAGAATTTATAGATGGGCCCAGCGTCCTCATATATTTATCAGATAGCCCAACGTTTCTAAGTACGTAGTGACAATCTATATTTAATCTACTGTGCTGCTACCTACAATTGTGCGATGTCACATCATCAACAATACGTGCATTGATTGTGAAATTCACGTTTCTGATTCTTGGTAACTGTAATTCACTAATTGTGTAAACTGTAAGGACCATAATTATAATTTAGTGTGACTACGTTTGTATAGCTACCGACAACAACGATAAATCAACGGGTTCTTTAAAAACGTTCGCTTATGCAAGTTTTACGGTACCTGAGCCTGACACTGTCACTGACGCTCATAGTCCTAGTCATAGGGTCTATGTCCCCCAGGGTACTGCCGGAACGTACCCTGGGTACGGTCCGGTATACCGGAACGTACCCTGGTAACTATCTGATTTGGTTAGGGTTAGGGTTAGGGATAGGGGGTGCAAATCCACTTTAGGCACCTTAGGTATCACGAAGTGATGCACAGATTTCTGTGTATCATCAACTGATGCACAGA